GGCGAGATGTCCAGGGCATTTGAATTCGCGAACAATCTGAAAGTCGATGACCATAGCATTGGCATTGTCATTCGCAAAGATGTTGTCGGTCCTGGAGGTGTGTTCGATGGGGTCGTAGCGGTTCCAGTTGGCCAGTTGGGGTCGCGGCCGTAGGTCATGGCGCCCTGGTCGGGATATCCGTTCGAGACGTTGTTCCAGCCACCTTCCTGTAATACCCAGCTGAGAAAAGCAGACTCGGTGACGTCGCACTGAGCAACCATGGTGATGACATAAGGGGCGGCCGTGCCTCGAAGAGCAGCAGCTTGCCAGACGTCCGCGAACAGGTCCTCGTTAGATTCTGCGGCGGCTCCGTAGACGGTGGCGAGGTAATAACCGGCGGTCAGCTTCCTTCCCTTTCTGATTGGGGATGGGAACGAAGACCTCCTTCCAGCGCTTTGTCGCCAGAAGCCGTTCTTGGACAGGGCGTTGGCAACCCGTAGGAACCATGGGTTCAGAGGTCGGGGCGGCGATGGCAACGCCCCCGAGCTCAGTGTTAACTCCTTTGGTTACGTACTGATGCTTGCCATTCTGCGCTGGAACCACACGCGCGCCTGGAGAGAGGGGCGGGCCCCAATGTGCTTTCCACCCGTGCCGATGGAGATGCTTATCAAGGTCCGAAAGTTGATGAGGTGTGCGACGTACTTCTTGTAGAGCTGCAACGGCGACGCCTCGGTCGCCAAGAGCTGCGAGCAATTCCCAGCGTGCTTGCAGCGAGGTCACATTGAGCGAGACGAACTTGTGATAGCCAGGCCCGTCACCCAGGGTTGAATCAGAGCACGCTCGCGTGCGATGACTGTAGCTATGACACTGAAGCAAAGTCGTCAGGACCCACATGACGAAAAACCCGAAGTGTCGCTTAAGACGATGTGTTCGCATGAGGAGGTTGGATCGAGGCGGAGCCTCCCGAGTGTTAGTCTCGGCCGTGTCGTCACCGCGGCAGTCTTCCAGACTAGCTGTAGACATGGTCGAAACTGTGGTACGATGCTCATTCCTGCAGCCACCCCACCCGCTGCAGTACCCCAAAGTTTGAGCGTGTAGACCACTGCCAAGTGAATGTAGTTGATGTCCCCGTTCACGTACTTCCCAACGGAAGGCGGGACTAACCTTCCTCGGGCACCTTCAGATTTCGTCGTCGTCCTTGCTGCCCTTGCCATCGTCGCCGGTGCGCGGCGTGGTGCGCGGCGTCTTCTTGCCGGGGGCGTCGGCGCACTCCTCCTGGAGATTCATCTTCTTAAGGATGGCAGCCAAGCTTCCCTGGAGCTGAGCCTGGTTCAACTGGATGGTGCTGTTGAGAGCCACGTTCGCCTGCTTGATCTCGGTGACGGCAGCATCCGTCTTGTGAGCAACGTCGTTCAGCTTGGCGCCGAGCGAGGTGGTGGCGGTGGCCTGCTTGTCGAACTGCGCCTGCGTAGCGGCCATGGTGGTAGCTTGGGCACGTACACTAGCTTCGAGGGCCAGAATTCGCTCGCGCTCAGCATCAAAGGGACGGACAGGAACCGGGGTAGGTGGGGTTTCACGGGGCTCAACTTGCATCCGCGCGTCGGCCTCACCTTGCGGGACAGGTTGCTCCGGTGGCTTCCCTTGAAGTGCAGCAAGCCAGGGAGGCGTGGCAGCCTCTGGTGCAGCAGGTACTTTACCAGTAGGTTGACCAGGTGGTGGCTGTGCGTTGAGGGAGGCGGCGAGGACGACCGTAGGAGCTGCCGCTGAAGTACTGGTGGGGCTGTGATTTCCGCTGGTGACCTCGGTGACAACCCAAGGCGTGGTAGTGCCGAACTTCCAGTACTTGTTGGTCGGCTCGGTGTCGGAGCGCGCGATGGCGAAGTTTGTCTTCTCATTGATGTCGAAGCCCACGTAGACGATGTCGGCGGTCCACCCAACTGTTTGAGCAGCGCCCGCAACTTGTCCTGCAACGGCCTTTCCATTCGGGATGTTGTCGATGAGCCATTTGCGTCGGGCCAGAGCTGTGGCTGAGCCTCGTACAGCAATAGCCGCTTCGCCTGCTTTGGGATGTTCACGTTGCACCCGTAGTCCGAACTGTCCGCGATCACCTTTCGTAACGCCCAGCGCGGCCTCGTGGGACTTGGACATGCTGTAGGCCTCCTGCATGGAGAAGGTCTTGTTGAACCAGACGGTGTGGATCTTCCACTCGTCGGTCTCCTGCTTCTCCGCGTCGACGCCGATGTACGAGAAAGTAAAAGTGATGCCCTGGTAGCCTGAGTACTTGAGGAACGCGTCCTCCTGGTTCTTTGGGATGGCAATCACGGCTCCCAGGATACGTTGACCTGCCGGACCTCCTGCTCGTAACAGGCGGCTGGGCTCGTCGAGGAGCGGGATCTCGGGGCATATGGCCTGCACGGTGGACTTGATGACATCGCGTGGCCCATTGCCCATGGAGCTCTTAGCATCGGACTTGCAGGCCGTCTTCCAACGTTCGTCGGCGGTGCTGCCCATCTTGTCCTTGCGCTGCCCGCCGACGACGACAGGGGCAGCGCCGCTGATCTGACTGCTGAAAACCTCATGCACGGTGGGGTTGACGAGCAGCGTGTCGGTCTCATGGATGGTGATGCGCATGAAGGTCGCATTGCCATCTGTTTCGCCGAGCTGCGCGACATTTGTCTTCATAGTGACGTCAGTCTCGCCGAACTGGTAGATGACGCCATTCATGAAGGTCGTCCGCGGGTTGGATGTACCGTGAGGGACCCTGAGTACAGGAATATGGATCTTCGCGTGGGCCCAATTGTCACTGCCCGTGCCGATGGCCAGGATGGCAAGCGGCTCCTTCTGTCGCCGTAACGCCATGCACCACTTCTCCACATCCTCCATGCTGTGAAGGGAGGCGGGGGACTCATAGGTGCCATCGGGCAACTTCTTGGGGGCCTGCGCGATGGGGATGGACCAGTCGTGCTCGTCTAGGGCGATGGGCTGCGGCTCGACGGCCGCGGTGCCCTTGCCCTTGCCCTTCGCGGTGTTCGTGGAGCCGTCGGTCAAAGCAGCGGCAGCCGAGGTGCGCCGCTGGTGCTCGTGGGTCCACGAGATCTTGTTCTTCGTCAAGAGTTTCTGGATGGCTCTCAAGTGCTTATCCCCTGGGGTCTGGTCCAGCACCTGGTCCAGACCCGCCTGGTCCTTGTGTGTCAGCTCGTTGTAGGCCGCGGTAGCACGATCGCCACCGCCCTGCTGGATGATTCCGACAACCTTCGTCTTGCGAGCTGCAGGCCCGCTGATATTCGTCGCCTTCTTCGCCATCTCAAAGAATATGGGTGGGCGCAAGCGGAGCGAGCAAGATAAACAACCGATCTTCTGCAGTGAGGCTCACTGTCGGTGCCGCCAGGAGTACGAAAATCGGACTCGGAGGGCAGATCGGAGGGGCTGCGCGCACTCGCTCCCCAGCGAGTTCGAGCCCGAGTGGCACTGATGGTGATGGTGATGGTGATGGTGATGGTGATGGTGATGGTGATGGTGATGGTGATGGTCATGGTGATGGCGATGGTGATGGTAGTGATGATGATAATGATAATGATGCTGATGATGCTGATGATGCTGCTGATGACGATGATGATGATTATGATGATATGTTGTCCCAGCTGGCCGATGGCGGCGGGCATAGACAATCGACAATGTGCAGTTGACAGTGTATGGAATCGGACTGTTATTGATGATGTGGATATAGTGTGGTGGTCATGGTGTGCTGATGCAGGCATGTGCATAACATTGTGACGTGGTGGTGGTGATGATGATGATGATGCAGATGATGGTGCTGATGCTGATGCTGGTGCTGGTGCTGATGCTAATAATGATGATGCGGATGAGGACGAGGAGGAGGAGGAAGAGGAAGAGGAGGAGGAGGAAGATGAGGAGGAGGAAATAAGGGGGATAGAGGCTGGGGAAAGGGGGAGGGAAGGAAGAGGAAGGAGGATGAGGAAAGACAAAGGAAAAAAGCAGGGTGGAGGAGAAGAGAAGATGGATGGGGACAGAGGAAGAGGAGGAACCCGGAGAACAACGTTGTTGTTCACCGAAGGGCCTCGCGAAAGCGCGCGCACTCCGTCACCCTTTGCCTGGCAGCGGCAACAGCAGCGCACGCAGCACGAAAAGGGTACTATCCCTACTGCTCGGTGACTGGGCAGAATTCAAAAAGGCAAGGCATGGCAAGTCGGCCTCCCATCCGAGAGCCCCAGGCAGAGGCCTTGTAGATGGGGTCCGAGTGGATGGGGTCGGAGGATCGTGACGCAGCGCCAATGCATCGGCGATGCATCGGCGACGCCGGCGTGGAGAAACTCGGGCTCCACATCGAGAGGCATCGCCGAGGCATCGGCGATGCGGCGCGATCCTCCGACCCCTCCGACCCCATGCGGGAGCCCTAGAAACAGGCAGGTCATGGAAAGGCGGTCCAGACATCGGAGAATCCCGGGAGGAGGCAAAGCCCAGCAACGGAGCCTTGGGGATCCCAAAACCGTGTGGGGACAGACCGTGCGGTGACCGCGGAAACCCAAGAGACCCCACCGCACGGTCCGCCGCCGCACGGTCTTGGGACCCTGGAGGCCCCTGTCGCCCGAGACATCCTCAAAGAGGGACTCGAGTCTCAAAACTTGAACAGGGACCGACCGTCCCAGCATTCCTGTAGGCCTACCACGAAATGGTCCCAGAACCCCGAAATGTTCCAAGAACAAGAAAATGTTCTTAGAAGATAAGCCCGATGAGTTAAAACAAGACAGCCCCAGAAGTGTTCTAAGAACATTTCGTGGAAACCACAACCGGTTCTCAGAACATTGCTTGGTAGGCGTATAGGCACGCCAGGACGCTTCGCCACTGTTTGAAAAACCGCGCGGTGACCCCGAACCCCGACCGACTCACCACCCGGCGTGGTCACCACCCCGCTTGGGGGCCCCCGAGAGTCGTCCCCAGCGCGGCGGGGGGGCACCCCCGAGGGCCGCAGCAGAGCGGGCGCCGCGCGGCGCGGCGGGCGCCTGCCGCGCCGGCGCCTGGGCCTTGCCGACGTGCCCCGGGTGGCCCGTCCAGATGCCCATCTCGAAGCCTCGGGCGCCGGGCTGAGGAGGAGGAGGAGGAGGAGGAGGAGGAGGAGGAGGAGGAGGAGGAGGGGGAGGAGGAGGAGGAGGAGGAGGAGGAGGAGGAGGAGGAGGAGGAGGAGGAGGAGGAGGAGGAGGACCGTCGCACAGATGGGGAAAGGTTCGTCTGTTAGCAGAGCTGCTGCTGCTGCTGCTGCTCCTCTTCCTCCCCCCCGCTCGGTTGGCCTGGGGAGTGGGCGGCAGCAGCCTCCTCCTGCTCGGCCATCTCTTGGGCTTGGCGCAGGAGGTACTGGTGGAGCGGCATGGGCCGCTCGTACTCGATGGGCGAATTCTTGGAACCTCGCGGATTCCTGCCTTCGAGCAAGAGGTTCCATTGTGTGCGGTCACCTGGTCTGACAAAATGTCCTGCACACGCTGCACTGAGGGACCGCACATATGATTCGGCGAATTTCCCACACCTCCGACAGACGACAATAAACGACCCCCCTCTATGCTGCTCGCAAATGAACAGCGAGTGCTCCTGCGGATTGCTGCACAGCTCCGCGAGCGCCTGAGAGTACCCAGGACATGTGCCTGGTTTCTTTGTTGCTGCCCTGCTGCGGCAGTCGATACACAAGAAACGCCTCCCTGAGGCCTCCCACCTGTGCCCCCGCGGCTCTCGTCGAGGCTGAACGGGGCGGGGGGCTGCGGGAGGAGGCGGCGGGGGCGGAGGGTGGAGCTGCTTCCAGATCTCTTGGCTGGAAGCCGCTCCTACAGGAGGGGAGGAAGATTTGACTGGCTTCTTGTAAGCTTTCTTGGTCACGCTGGGGCCTATCGGCGGCCACTCCTGTAGGGCCTTGGCGACATATCTCTTATATTTACTGAGCAACTTGCACTGGGACTCGTGTTCCCTGGTCTCGGTCTCCGAGGGCTTGTTGAATTCCCGAGAAGCGATCCCCGCAAATCGGTCGGCCCCGTGGTTGCCCAGGGTGTCGGCCCACTCTGTCGAGCCGACAGGGTGGGCGTCTAAACTTTGATGCGCCTTGACCTTGGAAAATCTGAGGTTATCATGCCATCCTATGGCTCCTCGCGCGAGCAGCCCAATTCCTGCATATGGAGGAGGAGGAGGAGGAGGAGGAGGAGGAGGAGGAGGAGGGGAGCGCAGCCTCGAAGTGGCGAGGGGTCCCCCTGGGCGGGGCGAGCGCGGGCGGGGCCGCCTGCCGAGGCCTGAAGGGCGCTTCGCCCGCGGAGTCCCGCGGCTCTCCCCGCAGAGGAGCACCGAGGCTGCCCATATGAGGCGTGCCGCGGGGTCTCCTCGGGGCTCCCCGACGTTTTCCCGAGGACTCCTCGAGGCTTCCTCGAGGGACTGACTTGGGCTCCAGGGGCGTTCTCATCATGGCCCCCTTTTTCAAAGTGGTGCTCTCGCACGAGTCCTCCTTATCACGTGGCACCACAGCTGATACTAACACTACATATCAAGGGAAAAGTGCAACAGTTGAACAGATGGAGGGCGGTTCCTCTTCAAAATGGGGCCGTCGCAACAGACGTCACCTACATCGAGCACACAGTGATGAACGCGCACACCAGCTACACGGACGGTGGACGGCTCCATTCCAAAAGATATAGGGCAGAAAATCCATCCATCCCAAGAATAATCACCCCGACACGCGAAGTCGTTCCGTAAACGCACCCAGAGGAGTCGAGCGAGGCAGCGGGCTGTTTTTAGTGAACGCCAAAGGCCATGTAGCAAACGCCAATCATCAGGTCTGGGTGGTGTTTCCTCCCTTGGAAATAAGGCTCCCGCTTTCGGGGACGCGCAAAGATGGATTAGTGATCCATGGACTTGGCGCGCGGTCGCCAAATCCATGGATCGGGGGGGGTCCTCCCCAAAATGCGGCCGGTGCCGCCTCGTTCGGCGGCGGACATCCGCGATTTTCCATGGAAACGGGGCCCGTCGCTAATCCACGCCCCCTTGATCCATGCTTGCGATCGCCTGACGCTCGAGACTTCCTTGCATAGCCAGAAGCTGTCTGCTTGTCAGCGGCACGGCCCGCGGCTGGCCGGTTGCCTCTCTCACAAAGAAGCGGGGCTTCCGCTGGGACCGTCCTTTCCCTTCAGCGGTTCGGAGCTGCATGGATTGGGAGGCCACATGCGAACCCTCCCCCTCCCCCTCCTCCTCCTCCTCCTCCTCCTCCTCCTCCTCCTCCTCCTCCTTCTTTTGCACTGCGTGTGGTTCCTATTGTGCTCATCGTTTGGGGCCTAAGCTGCGCGCAGTTTGTAAGCCAACAGCGTCTGGCTCCCTGCCCCAGAGTGTGAGGAGGTCTCTCGCGAATATCCGTGAGGGACTGCACCCCAAGACTGGGGTCAAGCTGGAGGAAGGATCCCCAGCTGAATCGTTCTCGTTGATATTCGGGGCGCAGTCGGGGAACTTGGCCGCGCCTCTGGTACTCGATACCTCGATACCTCCTCCTCCTCCTCCTCCTCTTCCTCCTCCTCTTGCTCCTCCTCCTCCTCCTCCTCCTCCCTTCCGAGTTCGGAGCTGCATGATCCTAGGAGGCCGCATGCGAACCCTGCAGCGGCTGCCAGCCCACAAGAAGCCTTCCACGAGGAACCCAGTCCTGAGACACCAGGACGTCCATGTATTTAAAGGGGCCCTGGGACACACAAATAAATACACACAACTAAAAATATGCCCCACAGCTTCCCATATGTTCTAGGTTTTTGCCTTCCCCCCACACTCCCCATATTTTCCCATATTTTCTGGGGAATCGTAGATTCATAGTGTCTGTGTCTTCCCTCCTAAGTATTTCTGGCGTGGGAAGACGTCACGCCTTCCGTGTGGCAGAAGCACCGAGACCCACGACACCCAGGGCACCCTGGAAGCAGGCAGGGTGTCTCTTGCATGGGCTTCCGCCGTACCCCACCTCCCCAGGAGTCCCAGACCGCCGACGTCATGGTTTGTTCATTACGTGGACCCCCAGAGATCCAGACCCTTTCCCCATGACCGGCTTTGCATCCCGAGTCGCTTTTTGACGCTCCCGAGGCCCGGTGAGGGCCCCCGGAGGCCGAAACGTCAGGAAAACCCTCCGTCATGATTTTGTTTCATTGCTCGAGGGGGTCTGGGCTTCTAGAGGGGGGGGGAGGTGGGGGTTGACCTCGCTCGGAACCTCCCAAGGGGGAGGGGGGGCCCACCTCCCCCCCCCCCAGAAGTCGTGGGGAGGCGGGGTGCAGGATCCGCGCGCGGCCTCCCGATGCTGGAGGGCAGCTCCTCTCGCCACGGGGGCCCATGTGCCCGCACTCGGTGCGGGCACGCGGGGCGCTCCGTCGAGGCAGGGGGCGCCTCGCGCGCCGAGCGAAACGGCAGGTTTGCAGCATATGTTTGCCTGCAGGGACTGCGCGATGGGAAGGAGGGGGCTTCGGGACGGGGGGGGGGGGGGGGGGGGGGGGCAATTTGCAGCATCTCTGCTGCACGTTGGCTTCCCGTGCTCCGGTCATCCTCCTCCCCCCCTCACCGATCCCCGCCCCCCCGCCCTCCCCAAGCCCCTCCTCCTCCCCAATCCACCTCCTCATCCTCCCTCTCAGCCTTCTCCTTCCATTCACCCCCCTCCTCCTCATCCTCCTCCCCCCCCCACCTCCTCCCCCTTCCTCTCCCCCCGCCCACCTGCCCTCCCCCTCCCCCTCCTCCTCCTCCCCCTCCTCCTCCCCCTCCCCTCCTCCTCCTCCCCCTCCCCTCCTCCTCCTCCTCCTCCTCCTCCTCCTCCTCCTCCTCCTCCTCCTCCTCAGACACACAGACAGACAGAGAGAGAGAGAGAGAAGCCTCGGAGCAGGGCGAGCTGAAACAACGGCAGCTCAAAATAGGCTCCCCTCCACAGGGGTCCAAACGCACCCAGTGTCGATTACGACCTGCGTCCAGCTGTCCCAACGAGGGGCCCCCCCGAAGGCCAGCTACCGCTGAGATCCGACGCTGCCCCCCCCCCCCCCAAATGCATCATCACGAAAAACTGCCACCAGATCCCTAGGCACGATGTTTCTGCGGCACGTTTTCGAGCCAGGTCGATCTGCGAGGGTCCATGGGCCCGAAACTGGGCGAAAACGCCCGGTCTGAAAAAATCGAGACGCCAGGATCTCAGGACCGTTGCCTCAACTGACCCTCCCCGATACGGGGTCACCAAGAAGCCCCGACCCCTTCCCCAGGACCGGCTCCCCCTCCCGAGCAACTTGCGGACGGCCCCCGGGGGGTCAGTGAGGGCCCCCGAGGCCGAAGACGGCGAGCAAACCTCCAGCCCTGATACTCTTAGGAGGACGAGGAGGAGGTAGAGGAGGAGGAGGAGGAGGAGGAGGAGGAGGAGGAGGAGGAGGAGGAGGAGGAGGAGGAGGAGGAGGGAGGAGGAGGAGGAGGAGAGCATGCTTGGATCCGAGTGGCGGCCGCCCACGCGGGGAGCCCGAGGACGTCAGGACTGGCTGGATGTAGTCGATGCTCTCGAGCTCCTTGGAGCTCATCGGCCTGCGGCGTGCCCGGCCGGCCCGCCCGCGCCCCCGTCCAGTCACGGCGGCCTCGCCTCGCGGGCTCGCCCCCGCCGGCTGCGGCCTCCCCAGACAGATCATTCGGCAACGAGCCGGGAAATCGGAGATGCAGCATCTCAAACAAAAGAAAATCGGGGCGGAGGTCTTTCGTCGCTTTCAGCAGGGGCCCTCGCCAGGCCTCGGGACCGGCAAAAAAACGGCTCGGGATGGAGCGCGGGCCCAGGGGAAAGGGACGGGACTCCTCCCGCTCCTCCTCCTCATCCTCCTCCTTCTCCTCCTCCTCCTCCTCCTCACCCTCCTCCTCCGCCTCTTCTTGTTATTCGTATTATTATTATTATAACTATCATTATTCAACGTATCATTATTATTCCTAGTATTACCACTCTTAGAATTATTCCCCAATCAGAGCTTGCCTTCATATGGTTAGGTTAGCTGCGTCGCCGATTTCGGCGGCACGCCCAGGTGCCTGGGTGCCCGGGTGCCCGGGAGCTGCGTCGCCCATTTCGGCGGCGCGCCCGGGTTCCTGGGTGCCCGGGTGCCCGGGTGTCCCATAGCCCCATAGCCCTACGGCCGTATAGCCCTACACCCCTATAGCCCTATAGCCCTATAGCACTATAGTCCTATAACCCTATAGCCCTATAGCCCTATACCACTATAGCCCTATAGCCCTATAGCCCCATGGCCCCATAGCCCCATAGCCCCATACCCCAATAGGCCTATAGCCCGATAGCCCTATAGCTCTATAGCCCTATAGCCGTATAGCCTTATAGCCCAATAGCCTATAGTCCTATAGCCATATAGCCCTGTAGCCCAATAGCCCCATTGCCCAATCGCCCAATAGCCCTATAGCCCCATAGGCATCTAGCCCTATAGCCCTATAGCCCCAAACAGATTCTGATTTGGGGCTACTCCCGTATCAATATGCTTGGTTATTGTATCACTCTTATGATTATCACCCTTATTACGAATCACAATAGTATTATTCGTATGATTCTCACGATGCATATTATTATTTCAATATCTTTTGAATTATTCCTCCTCCTCGTCCTCCTCCTCTTCATCCTCCCTCGCCCTCCTCCCCTCTCCTCCTCGTGCTCCTGGAGCTGCATCGGCACCAAGCCGCGAAATGGAACCGGCTCGGCCGCGCCAGGAGATGCACGACGACGCCGTGCAGACATCGGGCCGCATCGGGTCGTCCCGAGTCGGATCGGGCCGGCAGAAGGAGGAGGAGGAGGAGAAATGATAAGAATAATAATAATCAGAAGAAGAAGAATAATGATAAGATAATAATAACAAGAGGGCAGAGGAGGACGAAGAGAAGGAGAAATCCAATCGGATAGGGCGGATCGAAAGGAACCGTGCCTTGCCCCCTTCCCCATTCCGCCTCCACTCTCGAGCGCCGCTCCTGTGGGGCCGAAGCAGATGGGGCCGGAGGATGGCACCGCGTCGCCGCATCGGCGGTGCGTCGGCGACGTCGGGATGGAGGGCATCGGGCTCAGGATCGCGCCGCTTCAACGTCGTCGTCGTCGATGTCTTCGACATTGTTGCCGTCGTCGACATCTTCGATGTCGTCGGAATCGTCGTCTTGGTCGTCGTCGTGTTCACCGTCGCCGTCGTCGTCGATGTCTTCGACCGATGCATCGGTGCATCGGCGAAGCACCGCGATCCTCCGACCCCGACCCATCCTCTCTTGGCCCCCTCTGAGCGGCCTGGGCATTCCCCCGTCTGCTGGCTCGCCCCCTGCCCCGCGGGCGCCGGGGCCGCAGCGAGAGCTCGGCGGAGAGCGCCAGAAAAGGTGTTGTTTGGGGGCGGACTTGAAAGGCAGGGCGAAGAGGGAGAACGGGGGACCCAGGGACGATACGGCCGAAGAGAAAGAAGAATCCGCCGACCCTGTCGGCGTGTGTGAGGGGTTCGTCCGTTCAAGTCGTCATCTCCGTCATTCGTTGGTCGTCATCTCTGTCGTCCCCTTTCCCTGCCTCCCCCCTTTCCCTGGGCTCGTCGAAGGCAGGGCGAGGAGGGAGAAAAGGGGGACCCAGGGACGATACGGATGACAACAACAACGAGAACGACAACCATAACAGCAACAACAACAACAGCAGCAACAAGAACAGCAACAGCAACAACAATCAGTTGACCCTCATGCGCGATGCTTCCACACCCAGCATGCGACCATCATAATAACCATCACATCATGGGGGATCATGCTCCAAATAGGCTTGCCCTATAGGAGTCCTAGCTCAAACCCTACTAATTGGTCCGTTGCCCCCAAAAACAAATCCGATGCCCCCCCCCCATAATTCCTATGGCTATGCCTATGCCTATGCCTCCCCCTCACTCCTGTGCCTACGACTATGTCTATGCCTGCTTGTTTGCTTGCGTGCTTGCTTGTTTGCTTGCTTGTGTGTCAACTTGCTTGTTTGCTTGTTTGCTTGCCTTGCCTTGCTTGCCTTGCTTGCGCGCTTGCGCGCTTGCACGCTTGTGCGTTTGCTTGCGCGTTTGCTTGCACGCTCGCTTGCTTGCTGAATTGCGGACTCCGAACATGTTTGATTCCTCTGGTCCCTTGATTTGAATCGTCTAATAGATTTGGAGTCAACGCTGGCTGGTATTGTTCTATCGCGGGGGTCCGTCATTCCCATTCCCAGGTATCCCGCCCAATGAGGTCCTGCAAACACCTCCGCCAAAGAAAGAATGTCAACATATCCCGTCTCGAGAACACATGCCTGCGCCCTGCTGCGCCGATGCGAAACCGCCAGTGGAGCCCCAGCCATGGGTAAAGCACAAGGAACTATCGAGCGACAGGATTGGCTTGGTGGGGATGGGGGCTGTCGGCGGCGAGGCAAGGACCTGGCCCTGAATAGAAAGAAAGTCTCGAGCAGGGGTGCCGTTGTTGCTGGGATCGGCGCCAATGCAGAAGACAGTAGGGCGCTAGTCCAGCGTCAAACAACACAAAGTCTCGAGCGGGAGCGCTGGTTCTGTTGGGACGGCGGTTATCGGCGGCGAAGAGGAACACCGCCTTGAATAAAAATCTCGAGCGGGAACCGCGGTTTTGTCGGGACGGGGACTGGCGGCGGCGAGGAACAGGTCTTCAGGAAAAATTAAGAAAGCGACGAGCGGGAGCGTTGTGCTTGCTGGGGGGGGCGCTAATTCAAAAGATAATCGAGCGCCGGTCCAGCGTAAAACGGAAGGACGTCTCGGGCGGGAGCGCTGGTTTTGTTGGGGTGACGGTTTTCGGCGGCGGGCAAAAGCGCTGGCTCCGAGTAAAACAGGAGGAAGTCTCGAGCGGGAGCGTTGTTCTTGCTGGGTGCGGCGCCGACGAGACAAAGACTAGCGCGCCAGTCCAAGGTAAGACTGGAAGAAGTCTCGAGCGGGAGCGTTGCTTTTGTTGGGGCGGCTGTTTTCGGCGGCGAACAACAGCACCAGCTCAGGGTAATAACAAAAAATCGAGCGGGAGCGTTATTGAACTCTCACTTGTGAACAATAATTATGGTTGGTCCCCCCTCGCCGGCGAATAGTGTTCTCCCTCAGTCAAAGTGTGCCCCTCGACGCTCGCATCTTGTTTTTCTGACAAAGAACATTTTCCTTGTCAAACTGCGCCCCTGGCCCCCCGCACTAACAACAACGGCTCCCGCCTGAGACGTCCTCCAAATTTACTTCGGACCCCCCCTTCCCGTCTGCGACTTCCCCCCAATTCATTCAGGAACGGCGCTCCCGCACGAGACACCCCCGCAACTTAATCCGGGTCAAATTACATCGTTGCCACCCCGGACTACAACGACAGCGGCCACCGCTTGAGACTGCCTCCAACTTCACTCAGGACCCCCGCTCCCGCCTGAGACTTCCTCCCAATTTACTCAGGATCGGCGCTCCCGCCTGTGACTTCCTCGCAAGTTAGTCAGGACCCCACCTCCCATGTCTCCTTGAGCGTTGCCTCCCACTTCACGCTGAGCAGCGTCGCCAATGCCTGCAGCTGCGGCTTGCCCTTCTCGCACACGCAGATCCCGGCGCTGTGGTAATGGCGATCCGTTGCTGTATATAGCTCAAAAGATTCCCGCACGTTCGAATCCCAGCGCTGTGGTTCATGAAATCGGGCTTCCACTTCACTTCCCGCGCGGCCGCTGGGCAACAACACTGTCCATTGCCATAGGCCGTTATCCTGCACGCGGCGACCACCGCGCTATAGCTAATGTAATGGGGGTCCCAGTGTCGATTGCCGCATCCCACAGACAAGTGCCAGAGCTCGGTGCCTCCGATTGCCGTTTCGCCTCCCACTTTTCGCTGAGCAGCGCCAAAGCCAGCATGTCGTGCAGCAGCAACAAAGCCCGCGGCCCCTGCTGGTTCCTCCCACCCACCCTGGCCCTGCAGCGCTCTAGGAGATGGCATCAGGCACCACATTCGCCTCCAACACCTCGCCGATCAGCACCGGAGGTGTTACATGGCGCTGTTTATGGCGCGACCCATGGCGAAGCCTTTGTTAACCTGTGTTGGAATGGCTGGCGCAAGCCATTACGCAAGCTGAATCGCAACTCACGGCACAAATCATCGTCGTCCCTCCCTGTTGCCCCTCTAATCCCTCCCTTCCTCCGATCCCTTCGTCCTCTCTGTTTGTTTTTTCCATTTCGTTTCCCTGTTTAGGGGCTTCTCGATTTGCACGTGGCCAGGAAGGAATCTAACGTCCCAAAAAGGGGGCACGATCGAAGACGAAGAGGGCGGGTATCCAGGGTTTGGGATATGCATCGTGAATGACACGCGGGCCGGCAGGAGCGACCAGTCTTGGAATGATAGTTGTTGTTGTTGTTGTTGTTGTTGTTGTTGGTGTTGTTGTTGTTGTTGTTGGGCGGCCGGCTTTGGCGGCCCCCCAAACCTCTCGAGCGTGAGCCTCATTTTCAATGGAAATGTAGCTGGCGCCGAGGCGAGAGCGCCAGGGTGCCTGGGGGGGTCCAACAATAATAATTGTCTAGTAGTTAACATTGAACAGCAACA